TACACTTCACTCACACATGGCTCTGGCATAGATCTATGTAGGTGTGCTCCAAAGTTGATATTTTCTCCACTCTCTGAAGCATCGAAAGCCCATTCAAAAAAAAAAAAAAAATTCCAACAATTCCAGCTGTACGTTAAATGGTTAAACAATTGATTTATGTAATTAGATTCATAGACTTAAGCATCTCAACATTATATTATTTGAAAGAGTCCCACACCAACATAAATAGAGGCCTAATAGGCTGACCATTTGAGTATTATAAATTGTAAGCTTTAACTCAAAATATAGGGTTCAATCATTTCAATCACATAAAATGAGGGATTGGAATATTGAAAACAATAAAAATAAATGCAAAAGTAGTAAAACTATACTGTACAATGATTAGTGTACTGAACTGCAGTGGGATTAAGAGATAAAGGGGCAGTCATTCTTGAAGCCCAAATACCACCTCAGAAAATAAGAAATTTAGCTAGCTCGTATTTGAAAATAGAAACTGGGGGAGGATGGGAGACACTTTCATCCATTTATTTCATACCTATGTCTATACCTATGCTTATATATGTATGTTTGTATCTACACACACATATACAGCCTACCCTAATGCTGTATCTCCTAGGCCGACTTTTCACCCAACATCTCTCTTGCGTCTATTCACATTCTTTGATAATACAGAGAAATATTAATCAGTAAATTACTCTCTCTCCCTTTTATTGAAGGACCACGAACCCCTGATTTATAATGAGAAAGCATTAAGTTATTGCGGTGGCATCTGATAAAACAAAGTATATTGTTTAATTTTCAATAAATGACTCAAGCACGATAACATGATTTTTCTTCACCACGTGCTAAGCATATCCATTTAAGAAGCCAACTCAGCCTGGCATTAAAAATAGTTTAGTTTTTCATGTTCATTCTACAATTTTAAGGAATGGCTTACTGCGCCTGTGAGTCTTCAATGCATAGCACAGGGCTTAGCATCAAGTCGGTGGTCAATCAAAGTTGAAGAGGGCATCTGTTCTCTGTCGCTTAACATCTACTTTGTCAACACCTATTTCCTCTCTCATCCATAAACAGTATATTTCAATTTCACATGTCTGTATTATTCAGAAATGTGATTGATAAAAATTTTAAGACATGTTTTATATCTAGTTTTATTTTTATAGCTAGTATTGGATGGTCACTAAGATCACAGCTTTCAAATTTACCTTGCCTGACAGAATACAGGGTTACTGAGAGAAAAAAGCTAACAGTCTTTTTGGACTCTTTTTATTTTTACCATCTATAGAAATAGCAATATTTATGTCACACTTTGTTTTAAAGGTTTTCAGCAGGTTATTGTGAAGATTTAATTTATATATGTATATATATGTAAACACATATAAATTGCCCATATGTTTATATGTGTACATATATACAAATATATATGTATGCATTTATATGCATATATATGTATATGTACACATACACACAGTCATACAACACGTATTAATCACTTATAAATCATTAACTTTTATCTTTTTCAGGATACAATATATAATTCTTCCATGGAAGGAGTCAGAGTGCACTCAGGCTAGTAATACATCTCATTGTTCTTTCAAACACAAGAACGTTTTGGGGGAAAGTATCTGATGAAATATCATTCAGCCTAAGGGGTCCTCCTGAATCCTCAGTCAGTCCTGTGATCTTTCATTAAAAGTACTAGATCTAGAATATGTTCCCACAGATGTCTCCGTCCTTTTACAATCACACCAATCCCCAGGAGATGTGGTATGTCTTGATCGGAATCCCAGGATTGGAAGATTTGCACACCTGGATCTCCATCCCTATCTGTTCTATGTACATTGTGGCCGTCGTAGGCAATATCTTCTTGATCTTCCTGATTGTGACTGAGAGCAGTCTCCATGAGCCCATGTATTTCTTCCTTTCCATGCTGGCCTTTGCAGATGTCTTGCTCTCCACGACCACAGCCCCCAAGATGCTGGCCATCTTCTGGTCCCATTCCATGAATATATCCTTTGCTAGCTGTGTATCCCAGATGTTCTTCATACATTTCATCTTTGTAGCAGAATCTGCTATTCTCCTGGCCATGGCATTTGACCGCTACGTGGCCATCTGTTACCCACTGAGATATACCACAATTCTAACCTCCTCTGTCATTGGAAAGATTGGCATAGCAGCTGTGGTCAGGAGCTTTATCATATGCTTTCCATTCATTTTCTTGGTATACCGACTTACATATTGTGGGAGAAACATCATTGCCCATTCCTACTGTGAGCACATGGGCATTGCCAGGTTGGCATGTGACAGTATCAATGTCAACATCATTTACGGCCTGACTGTGGCCCTACTCTCTACAGGACTGGATGTAGTGTTCATCATTATGTCCTACACGATGATCCTTCTCACAGTGTTTCAGATACCTTCTTGGGCTGCCAGATGCAAGGCCTTTAACACATGTGGTTCCCACATTTGTGTCATACTTATGTTCTATGCCCCAGCATTCTTTTCATTTTTTGCGCATCGCTTTGGGGGTAAGACCATCCCTCACCACATACACATTCTAGTGGCCAACCTCTACGTGGTAGTGCCTCCTATGCTCAACCCTATCATTTATGGGGTGAAGACCAAACAGATTCAAGATCGAGTGATTTTGCTCTTCTCCTCTATTAGCACATGCTGTTAAAATAAAGAATAATGTTAAATCCTGGATATTTCTGAATGAAACACACACACAGTTTAAAAATCTGGTTCAATGAGATATAATAAATTCCATAAAATATCCTCGAACACACTTAAAAGGATAATATCTACCAATGTTTCCAGTGCATTTTCCTAAATCACTTAA